AAATGATTCTTATTTCTTATTTCAACCATTGCGTATATTAGCTATACATATGAATCAAGATGCTATAACCGAAAAAATATGATTGACAGATGATCGTTGATGTATGATTGCCCGAATTAAGGTGTTCAAGCTGATGTATAACTAACTGGCCTGCATAAGATAACGAAAAAAATCCCCCCACAGATTTTAAGACAGGATTTTTTTTTAAATAGATATTTTCTAAATTATGGGACAATATCGTCTAATAAAGAGTACATTTATATACATGTTTAAGCCAGATTGTTTTGACATTTAAATATGATTTCCCTAGGACTTTAACCCTGGTCCTCAGAGCCCACTGTCCTAAATGTTTTAGGCGTTTCCCTGCCTCAACACAACTGACCTGAATGAAAAGGTGTTGAAAAGGCTTTTGCAGCATTTTATGGCTGCCAGAGAGGTAATACAATCATTTAAATCAGGTGTGCTTGAGTAAAGACCAATCTAAAACATTAAGAACAGTGGCCCCCGAGGACAAAGGTCAAGAAACTCTGCTATAGAGGACACAGCAAATATTCGGCCTAATTATCATAATTTGATCAGAAAACTGACCCTGCAGACATTCCTAAGATAAGCTATAGTGGTGGTAACATTATGGTGTGGGTTTGTTTTTCTTTAACATTAAGTCTTGTTTAAATTGAGTTGGCAATGGGAATCCCTTCCCTGCTTCTGACTGATGTGGGCTGGTGCCTCTCCAACATGTAGGTTTTGTGACTCCGGGCAGCTGAGGATTGAGTTCAAGGCTTGACCTGCAATGGAGGACATGGCAATGCCCCAAATCTGTCCCTATGCCTTTTCGGCTTCCTGTTGCTTCTGTGTCTCGCTCCCGACCTTTACCTATGTCAAGCATATGTCTGCTCTGTGGGGGGTCTGGTGTCTGTCTCCTGGCCTTCAGGAGTAAAGGGAAACTGCCCTTCGCTTCTTTTAGCACGGTAGCGTTCCTAGTCTTCTGCCCTCTTTAACATTCCAACAACTATGTACCTCTAGCTGATAAATTCACATGCATACACACAGCAATACTCAATAAACATACCCACCTACACACAGGAACACACAAACCAAATTCATCCAACCACACACTCGTTACAAACTATACAAATAGCTAAAGGTCATAAAAAAAGGGGTTCTTGTTCCATCGATTAAATGTCTGCGTTTAAGCCATGGCTTTGTAAATTCAGTCGACAAATATCATGAAATACCATTTTTAAAAGAAAAATAGTAGGCAAAACTTCTCCATGTAGACACAGGAAAGGTGAACCAAGTGGTAAAGTTGCACAATTAAAGACCATCCAATGAAGAATCTGAATTCAAAACTCATAATAACAGATAATCTTTATCCGAACTGACTAAGCTTTTTTTTTTGTTTTTGTTTTTTCTGGAGGAGAATGGTCAATACGATAATTGACCAGACTTTTGGTGGATATTTTTCTACTTTGTGTTTGTACAATGTGAAAAGAAACTCAAATTAAATCCTTTGAACATTGTGGTGGTTACTGAGCAAAATTTGAAAAAGATACATTTTTAGAATTGCTTCCTGTGCTTTACAGGAATCTTTAGAGACTTACTTTAGGATAAGAGTAACCTTCAAAGCTTTGGCTCCTCCAAATGTGCACTTGGTCTTCAGAGGTTTTCTGATATACAGGGTTGTGAAAGTGAATTGTGTTTGTGTTCTTCAGTCGATAGTATCTCCATAGTAGCACGCCTCCGACTGCCACCAGACAGATGAACGCTATTTGAGAGGGAGAATCAAAGGTTAGAATTGATAAAAGATTTTTTGGGGGGCTGTAAAAAGCATTAGTTGATATTTGAGCGAAAGAAATTACCCAGAGGTAGGACAAAGTAAAGAGCTGTTGTGGTGCTGGAGGTAGTTTTGGGTAAAGATGCAGCAACTTTTGGTGGAGCACCTACAGCAGAGTTAAAACACAGTAATGTTACCGTCTTTGATCTCAGAGCAAGGAATCTGTGAAAAGACATATAAAACTATTCAGACTTGCTAATTTGCTGACTTGCCTGGAGTTGTGACAGCAGCAACTGTGGTGGTGTGCAAGATTTTAGGCTCTTCTGGCCGAGGAGAAGGCTTCTTTGGCAAAGATGTTGTGGTACGAACTATAGGCCTAGTGGTACGCCGGACTGGCCGAGTGACTGTGCTGGTAATTATGAGAGGTACTGTTGTAGTAGTGTGAACCTGAGGCTTCTGTGTTGTCTTTGGAGTGGTCTTTGGTGTGATGGTAGGCCCAAGAGGAGGGTGGATAGTTGTGGATTGAGACTCAAAAGAAGCTGTGGAAGTTTGAACAGCTGCTAGAGTACAAAAAGAGAAGTATGTAGCTATTAATAACTCATCTGGTACATATTAACCAAAAACTACCTGTGATAATTTACCCACCAGTCACACATGTCCTCATATCTTCTGCTAGCATCATATTATCTGGACAAACACAGGTATATTTTGGAGGATGTCTTCCTATTTGAGGGGCAGCTAGGCACATAAATTCACAGCTGCTGTTGGACACCTGACACCAGTCCCTTCCTGGAACAAAAAAAATGAAATACAGCTTTAGTTCAGCTATTTTGCAAATGGAAGGTGTTATTAACATTCTTAGTTTTGTTCCTTGCATGTTTTTGCTAACAGTGGCTCAACAGTAACAGGTGTCACAGCAAGTGATCAAATGAGAAGAAGCCAACAGGAGCTAATAAGCCTAGCTTATTTTAGCGTAAAACAAAGTGGGAAGAGGCCAAAAGAAGCTAATTAGCCTGGCTTAATATAAAGAAAATTGGAAAGAAGTCAACAGAA